TTAGCCTTCCATGATTTTCTTTCTTTGGGGTTTGTTATGTTAGATATAAACTTTAGATTATTTACTTATCTAGCATGTGTTCATGGTTTTTTTTATGTCTTTTTTGTTCTTAAAATCTCTGCAAGTTTGATTTCTAGCCATGTCATGTTCTCTTTCTCATGGTGTTTATTTGTGTTTTCCATCAGTTTATGTAATTTTTTTTAGATTACATGATTTTTAATAAATAATTTGGTTTACTGGTAAAATTAGTGGTAAAATCCAAATTGGCGAGTGATTATGACTAAATGTGGAGARCTATATTGTTGTTGAATAATTTGTCTACAGTTGTGTCTTTGTGTACATGCATGTATTAAGAGAAAACTGGTTTTGTATCATTGTACTAAAAGGGTTTTAAAAAAATTGTTATATCCCTATTACAGATTATCAATTTGGAAAACTTGTAATACTTATTTTTTTTCCTCAGCTTGAAGTAAAAAAATTTGACTAATTATTTTACTCAGTATTTTTTTTCAGTCCAAGTTCCAAACAGAGATTGTGTTTACTTTGACATATCAGTGAACACAATCAAATTAGAAGAAATGATGAGAGCCACTGATGAATCGCATAATCTTAACGAATTAATGCCAAAATACACATTTGTACATTTTTGTGTGGTATATTACTAGATGAACACAAAAGCACCCAAACTTCTACTAGTGACTTTACCGTGTTCTATGGCATCCAACATGTATACCAAAAAAATGTGTTCTTATTTCGTGGATTTGGCATAACCAGCCTTTGGATCTTTTGTGGATGACATAACCAAAAAACTGGTTACGCCAGATCCACAGAATAACACATCTCTTGTTCGAATGAATTCGTAGCACTGAAACATATACACAATGTGGGACAATAATGTTTCCTTATCCGAATGGAGATATATTTCCTTGTTAGTGTTGAAGTGTGAACTTTGCATTAAGATCTAAGGAAATGATTACCGTTGACATGACATCGGAGTGTTTCTCGTTTTTTTGGCCCTTGATAATGTCGACAAGGTTTCTCTTTCTCAACTATGGTATATGCAAAACTTAATTTCTAATAGGACCTACTACCTAAAATATTATGAATAAAAATCTTCAATCTCAGGTCATGTAATGCCAACTTGAAAAAACAATTTTTATAATGAGGATTGGCACATACAGTTAAGAAAATCAAAATCTAACAAGAACTTCACTAGAGAAATCGATATCATCTTAAGTTTATGGAAAGTTTTAAATACAGAAGAACAAACAAAAAATCAAAACCCACAAGGAAATCAAGAAACTTCTATGTGATTTCAAAAACCTTGCGGTTCTGGTTCTGTATCTAGCTTTCGGTTTGCTCCCTTAACCGTCTGATGGCACTCCTTACTGTCACAGCACTAGCGGTGCTGCCAAAAGAACAAACAAATATACAACATATCAAAAATCCGATCATGTAAATAATTAAGGAATGAGAGAAGAAATGGTTCTTTGTTTCTCACTTCATAGTGTATGCACCACCGGCCTTAACTTTCCCGCAGTCCTTGCAACCCCATATACCAACAGCTTTTCTCTTCACTGCGTACTACAAGTTGCAAACCAAAACATAATCAAAATCCATGAAACCATTAGCTTGCGTGGATGTATTGAAACTACCGGTGACAAGTACTTGAGATTATGAGAGAGTGTATACCTTTCCACAGAACTCGCAGAAGTATTTGCTGTGCTGGCTTACTTCCATCTTCTTGATTTGCTTCCGAAGACTGGCACCATATCGAGTACCTTCACAGATATACAAAATCATGAGCATTCAGAAACAGAGGACAAAACATGAAGTAACAATAAATTGTAAAGATTTCTGCTTTACTTCTCAATGATAAACGAAGAACATAACAATGTACAATGAAAGAACCAAAACCAAAGAACCCTAGAGGATCCACTACTCTCTCAAACTTTGTTCTAATAAGCTACGAGTCTGTTCCAAATCCAAGAATAACTAACGTGTTAAGCAACTGTTTGTTTCAAAGATGCATTTTTCTCTATGATCATGATTTTGCAACTAGTAATTCTATCCAATGAAAMAAAAAAGAATCCAACTTGCTCTTATTTTGGAGGAAACTAAGTGAAAATGAAGTCTTCACGGTGAAGTCTAAAGCAAAGTAAAGATACATTCTCAAGGGTACAACAATATCATAAAACAGTGTATAAGTTTCATTGACACTCACCATATTTCCCGACAATTCCAGCCTTCTTCGTTCTCTTGGTCTGAAACCAAGAAAATGTAAAAAAAATTAGACACACAGTAAAAAAACAGATAGTGTACAATGAGAAATACTTGCAGGACCAAATCTAATTCAATGTGATCGAGCTCATGTTATGTAAAGAGAAAATGAAACGAAATTCTACTCAATCGGAGAGTGATCTCACCATTGTCGCCGGAAAAGTAGACGAGAGGAGGAAGCAAGGCGAAGAAGAAGCCGCAGATTAGGCGGAAGTTAATAAATATAGAGACACTGAGGTAATTTAGGGTTTGATATTTTGGGTTGTAAAATATTAAAGACTAATCAATCCCTTTAATTAAAACTTTTGAGAAAGGCCCAATACAGTAGACCAATAAAAAAATAGCCACGTCATCATGCGAGCATGAGTTTCACTTTGAGATTGGTTTTGGCCCTTATGGTAACTTTTCACACACGTTATGAAATCAAATGCTCTAATTGCACCCCAAAAAGCCAAAGTTTGACTACATTCTCTCCACTATCCAACGAAGAGTGTATTTCCCTTTGTACAATATCTATATTTTTTACCTAATGTATGAAGAATCCAAAATCTGAATTGTTTTGTTTTAGCTAACAGTTTTCACTACAGAAGCAAATTCAGGGGCACTTTATTCCGTCTTGTGATCTTTCATCTCGGTTCGGTTGAAGTTGCTTTCCAATGACTCCTACATATCAAGTTGAAGCCTCTCATCTTTCTGCATGATCCTATTCATCAATGTGTTTCTTTTAAGTTTTGTTGTTCCTATGAAGATGAACCCACCTGGAATTTCGCCAGTTGTTCTTGTCGCCGGCCCAAGAAGAACGCCGTGACTATCCATATTAAACACACCTGCAAAAACAATGGAGACTTGTCAAGGAGAAATAATATTATTATTACTCATACACGGAGAATTGTCAGAAAGTAAGAAGCTTTTATTATACTGGCAATGCATAGAGTGACGCGGTTGATGTTTGACCGCCAAGAGCAATGGTTAGGAGTTCGAATAGTCCCGCTGCTGCAGCATCTCCTAGACGTTGAACAATCACGTCTATACATACCTGAAACCAACATAGGGTTTTTACAGAAATCAATTACGGAATTGGGAAAGCAACCAGGGGCGACTTTAATCTTTGATTCTAACAGAACTGATCGAGGAAAAGGAAAGAGTCTGTACCTTAGCTTTGTATTTCTCGTCTTGCGAGACAACGGTGAACAAAAGTTCCCTTCCAGGTCTAGTTACAACATAAGTTGTCACCTACCAAGTAATAAAATGTGCAAGTGTAACTAATCGAACAGTAGTGCAACACCAATGAAATTGATTTTAAGCCACAAACCTTTCTCACGGTTTCAGACACAGCAACTGAAACCCAAGTTGGCCATATTGCAATAGCAACCAAATTCCCAAGAGCGACAAATGGAGATGCAGATATTGCAACCGTGACACCGGCTAAAGTCAAGATTCGGCCCTGTAAGATTCAGAATACACAAACGATATATCTAAAACATGAACAGAAAAATACCAGGTACGGTGAATTTCAATGTTATAAATTTGTTTCGCATATGACATACCGTTAGAGTTAGTTGTCCAATAAGTATGAAAACTGCAACGAAGCTATTTATCTGGGCAAACAGTCTTCTTCGACCAATGGATGATTTGATTGTCGTGGCAATAATATTCACTTTCTGCAGTGAACTTTATTTCATCAGTGAGAACGTAAGAAGTTCAGCATTCTTTATGTTAAGTCCAGCAAAGTCATTATATAAACTCCAATTATCAAAATTGCAAGCACTGGTAACAAAGGGATATACTAGTCTTTATCTAGTGAAAATTTGCTAACAGAACAAGAAAAAATGGCTGTTGAAGAACAAGGAATCTTGGTTATAAAAATCATAAAATCTTTAGGCAACGGAATAGTATAACGGATTGAGATTGTTCACATGACAAGCCAATTGCACCATTAAGAATTCGGACAATTACCTTAACATGCTTCATGTAACCTTATATCTTGAAATCATTTAAAGTTTGGAGATTTTTCTTACTTGGAAATAAAAGAATGAGGAGATGACCGCACCGAGCCAAAGGAACAAAGACACAAGCAAAAGATAAGGCGATGCTACTATAAGTCTCATTCCGTCTAAAATGGCCCAAAGCTGAGGTCTGGTTGTGGAGATAGGCGATTTAGGAGTAGCAACTTTTGGAGAACCAACTTTTGGAGAAGAAGTTTCCTGTCTTCTCTCACTATCAGTTTTCCTAACAGAAAAAGGCAACAAAGATCAACTTCTCGACCAACCATGAGCATAACTGAGTCAAAGTCAAGACTATCCCAGAACCTAAGATTAAGACCCACACATCTCACTTATCTGTTTGAAGTTCAATCTCGAGCATTACCAAGACTAACCTCAACTTTTTAGATAAATCATTTCAAATCTTTGTACAATTCCATACATAGCCATATAACATTCCAAACATATGCATATATGGACACAAAGTTTAGATTATCTAACCTTAGAGGAGACAACTCCTCAGAGGACTGGGAAATCTCCTTGGCAATCCCTTTTGAAGACTGTGCAGCAAATTCCATCAAAAGAGCAGCAAATAGAAGTAAATCTGTAATGAAATTAGAATGGCATTCATGAAACATCAAAAGCAGAAGAACTATCTCTATCTGGATGTGAATGGAACCATCATCAGACAATGTGATGCATACATGGACCCATCCAAGCAGTCGCAGCAGCAAACACCGATCCAAAAAGCTGTCCAAGGGTAGCACCGGCACCAACAAAACCAAACAATCTTGCACCTGACTGAATTGAAGAATGTTTATGCTTCGAAACAATAGCTAGTTCTTCGATATAAAGTAAAGGGCAGCAGAAACTACCTCGCTATCCATAACGTCTATTATTCTAGCCCATGTGGAAGAAATAGCGACAAGATTAAGCAACG